CGAGAGATACGTCCAAGAAAAGAAGAGGAAAAAGAAAAAAAAAAAGAAAATAAGTAAGAATACCGAAAAAATACAAAAAAAAAAAAAAAAAAAAAAAAGAAAAAAAGAGAAAAAGGAAAAAAAAAAAAACCGACGATCGATCGTGGATCGAGCGCGAGACGAGCATACTTTTTGACGAGCAGCGTCGAAAATCAACCCCCTTTCCGATCGACGAATCCTCCTCGAGACCTTATTTATTAGAGATTTTAAGCTTACTAACCGAAAAGTATAAACTTTTTATCCGTGACAATAATTAAGAGAGAACTGAAATAATGTATTGAAATAATGTTCACAGAATTATCGGGATAAGGGAATTAGAAGAGGCAGGGTGTTGAACAAGTTCGACGCTGGAGATTCCTCGATTTTTTAAAACTTTATATTGTACATATTGTGCACGGAGGGATGTTTGTATACGATCGAAATACTTGTATACGAATCCGCGGGGAAGAGGCCACGGGTAGATCTTGGTAGAAAAAAAGAAAGGAAAAAAAAAAATAGTAGAATCATAATAGAATCATAATACGTTTATCGATATCGTGCGCCCTCGATCCGTGTTATTTTTAACGCTTGTTACAAATGAAATTTTTAATCTTTCGCTCGTATCTTCGCCGAAAGATTCACGAGTCGTCGCGGTGCGAATTTGCACGGTGGAAAGCTTCGTGGATAGACGTGTTTTATCGTAGAATGGAGAGAATGCGGGAGAATATGATCGATCGAGACGCGAATCCAGGTCTAATCGGTACAAAGAAACCACTTCTTGCCTTGAAGAAAGCTCTCTATAAATATTACGGATCAGGTGCGATCGTGTCGCGAGAGAAGGGAATTAAAATAAAAATTGAAATTAGAAAAAAAAGGGGAGGAGGATCCGAAGGAAGAAAAATAAAGAATAATAAATAAATAAATAAGAAAAAAAAAAGAGGAAATTCTTCGCAGAGTACAAATTTATTCGCGATGTTTGTCGAGGAGAAGAATCTTAAACAGAAGAAAACAAAAAGATAATGGAAAATAAAGAAAAAAAAAAAAAAGAATACAGTGAACATCGATCGAAGGAGGAAGCTAAAAGGTTTTCTAGGTATCGTTATACGCGTTTGTGACAACTGTCTGTCCGGATCAGAATGAAGGGAGGAAAATGGAAAATAGGGTTTGATCGTTTTTTTTTCTTTGTGCCATTGTGAATAATTAATCAAACACGACGAGGTTTAAGACTTTCTTTTTTCTTTTAATCTTTTTTAATTCTTTTTTTTTTTTTTCTTCCATTCGTTTTCGTTATCATTATTCTTTAGCTATTTCTTCACTGGAGAAAAATTGCACAGAGAGTATCTCCCCTTAATTATTTCAATAAACCTCCATGACGATCAACAAATCGTACACGCGTTGATCGTAGTCGCGTGGAAAAGTTGATGAACACAACAACAGTGATCTCGTCGATAGACTTTCTTCTTCGCTTTTCTTTCAATCTTTTGTCAATTTTTGTTTTTCTTCTTCTTTTTCTTTTTTTTTTTTTATCTTTAACTGTACAGATACAAGCGTCGATTTCGATCAATCGTCGCGATAACGTACGTTATATACAAACCCACAATACACACACGTACACATTGAAATACATATGTATTTCATTGACACATGTACAGATTTATCGAACGTCGCAAATGCGTACACACACACACACAAACACACATATTCACACACGTTTACTTACAGGCACGTAAGCAAACATTATAGTTAAAAGGGTTGGCGGGGTGCGTTCGTCTATCCCTTTAAAGTGACAGATATTCACGATATACCCTCCCTGCAGATCATAGTTTTCTACGACAGTATTTATATAGCTATATATACATATAAATAATTATATCTATATATATATATATATCACAGAAATATATTGTATGTATATACGAAATGTACATATACATATTAAAATATTTTTACACGAACGATCCCCTTTATCGCGCCAGCACCCCGTCATCCCACCCTTCAGTCGGGTGTATCCCCGGGTTAAAAATAAAAAAAAAAATAGTCCGTTGAACGTAGTTCGCAATAGTCATTTGGAATAAAATAACCACCAACTACCAGTATTGCAATAGTTGTTAGAGAGACAATCGTGTGAACGTAATCGTGCGAAAACGCTCCCATTCGAATCGATCGATTTGCCGATTAAATTGGAACTATTAAAAAGAGAGAGAGAGAGAAAATTGAAATAAAAGAAGAAAGAAAGAAAAAAAGAACAAACTGGCCCGCAACAAACATTTGATCGCTTGAAAATAACGCGTAACGAGTTAACATCTGAAACGAATCGAAACGAAAAGGGGCGGATGAAGTATTCTCGACGATTCTTGATGACGGTCAAAGAAGATAGAAGATGGCGAACGCACGACAGAACACTCGTCTTCCGTATCAGCAAGCGGCTCTCCTCGGTATCGACAATAATAAACGGCGAGCGTGTCGGCGCTCGTAAATGCCGAATCGTGCGAGTGCACTCGTCTCCGCGTGGCTTTACGGTGATTATAAAGTCGGATTAACGACGCCGTAAACGCGGCTAAACCTTTCGCGAATAGTTCGCCGGTCGGGAACGTTTCGTTCGAGTTCTTAGGGGGGAATGCAAATAAACCGTCTCTGAAATTCTCTTGCCTACCGGAATAAAGGGAATCTCCTCCGCAAAGTCTCTTTCGGCTTTCGGATATCCTGGCTATAGAGATCTTGGTGGCTCGAGCGAGCAGTGCTAAAGTCGAGAACGTCGTCGAACCGTGTCTCTTTTCAAAAAAGACTCGCGAATAATTATAATTGTACATGGTCCTGCTCAATACCGATCTGGAATCTTCGTTCCATTCGTTTCTTCTTCTTCTTCTCAATTTAATCGCATTGTGACATACAAGATTGGCGAACGTTGTTCTGTCGTGCGTTATTAATTTTTGATCATTGATCACTGATGATTGAAGTTTGTATGTAACGATAGAGGAATCAGTTTTTTCTTTTTCTTTTCCTCTCGAAAAATTAAAAATTTTTCGAGCAAGGGAGCGATCTACCATCTCAGATCCACTCTGAAAAATTGACACGATTACACGATGCATTGTTGTAAATGTAATAACAAACTCAGGAAATCTGAAGCAACCAGGCCGTGATACTATTACTTATAGAAAATACTACTACTGCTACTGCTACTACTACTACTACTACTACTACTATTACTACTACTACTACTACTACTACTACTATTACTATTACTACTACTACTATTACTACTACTACTACTACTACTACTACTACTACTACTACTACTACTACTACTATTATTACTACAGGTGTGATTCTTGCGTTAAACGGACGCTCGGATGATTCACGAGCCAGCGTCTATTCTGTTTTGTTTCGTTTGTTTATTTGTTTCTTGTTTGTTACGAGATTTTACTCTGGCAAGTGGCAAGGTGTGTGCACACACCGCGTGTCTGCGAATCTGCAGCGTGTGCCCCGTGAAATCGATTGGAGCCGTTCCGTTCGCGAAAAAGAAAGGCCGTAAACGAACTATATATATATATATATATATACACACACACCACACGATTAATCATATTATATAATAATTATATTATTATCCAAATTGATGCATCTTCGATTACAAATTAATCGCACGTTGTCGCGTTGACGAATATCCACGGCTCGAATTTGTTTCGCGAGCCATGATTATGCGATTATTAGACAGGCAAAGGGATATTAAAAAAGGAAAAAGAAAAAAAAAAGGGGAAAAAAGAAATGATTGTGAAAAATCACCACAGCTACCTCCATAATTAATTAAATATCAGTCTTCTTCTCGCGCTATGTTCACGCTCATGATTACCTAAAGCATATAGTGACGTTACTTTTACGATGAGATACGTTCAGGGGGGAGGGGGAGGGGGAGGGGGGGGAGGGAGGGCGAGTAATTCGTCATCTCGACGAAACCATTGCATCTCCGCATAGCGAGATATATTATTATAATATAATAATTATGTATACACAACGTTTATTATACACATAGTCAGAAGCGCGGGATGATGATATAGCCTCCACGGATTATATAGGTTTAAGGATTTGCCTCCTTCCGCGGAACAGTCGAGCCGGCAATGGAACAATACAATAAGAATAAGAATAAAGAAAAAAGAAAAAAAAAAAGAGGTGTAGAGAATTTCGTCGAACGTCGGTCGCGTTTTCGATGTGGAAATTATATTTTAGATTACTGCTCAAAATAATTCGAAGATTAATAGATTTCTTCTTAGGTGATAATAACGAGATAGAGGATGAACGCGTTTCAATTGCGAGGATTGCGAACACTGCTCAAACTATTTCGTTTCTGTACGAATACACACACACACACACACACACACAGACTTAGGTAAATCGAATGAAATAGTCATAGTAAGTTATTATTATTATTATTTTTATTAAATTTCTGTCTGTAAAGATGGCGATATTCGAATATCTTCGAAATTGTGGCGTGTAGTAAGAAAGTTGAGTCATAGACCAAAGTGTTATCCACCATGTTGCTTTTTCGTTGCTGCTTACAACGATCGGGATAGATCTATTCACAGAATGCAATATTTTTTTTTTTTTCTCTCTCTTTACCGGAAAAATATCTCTACAATGTCGAGGATGTTTGAAGTTGTTAGCACTCGAAACACAAATATATAGAACACACAAAGAGATAGAATTCTTCTCTGATTACTTTGAGCGGCGTGGTAAAAGATGGAAAAGATAGAAAAAAAAAAAAAAAAAAACGAAACTTGTATCTGGTCGGAGATTACAATGGAGCTACCTCAGTTTTACAGATATATAATGTAATGTTGACATAGAACGCGCACTCGAGCCGCATTTTTCTCGCTGAAAATGGACAAGAAATACTATTTCACTGCCAAGCGTGCCATGCTCGATTGTTCCGCGTGCGACAGTGCTGAATTCCAAAATCACAATGCAATACGTTGTACTTACAGTCGTTTTTACGCGTTGACTCGTCGATATATACCGGTTAGTGATTTTACTGCTGCATACAGAGAGAGAGAAAGAGAGAGAGAGAGAGAGAGAGAGAGAGAGAGAGAGAGAGAGAGAGAGAGAGAGAGAAGAGAGAGAGTAGTAGTAGAGAGAGAGAGAGAGAGAGAGAGAGAGAGAGAGAGAGAGAGAGAGAGAGAGAGAGAGAGAGAGA